GAGCCCCAGTGCTGCCGAGAGCCGCAAGGCCAGAGGCCGAGGGCCCCCCGGGGCAGAGTGGGGAGCAGAACAGGTGGGTCCACTGAGACACACTGCGGGGGGCAGCAGTGGGGGCGGCTCCTTCCTGTCCCTCAGGGTGGCCTGGGGCCGGGGGCCGGTGTGGGTCACTCCGGCCGGGATGGCTCTCTGGCCTCTGCCCCGGGAGGCCTCACCTTCATCATTTGTGTATAAAAATGAAGCCTTTGAATTTTTTAATTAAAATTGGTTGACTGAGGCCACCACCTTCCTGCTTCAGGTGCTGACCCAGCCCGTGGACACAGCCAGACAGGGGCTCTGCGGCTGGCCGCCTCAGAACGGCTGGCGGTCAGCGGGAAGCATGGACCAGGCGCCCGCGCACCCCGCCTCAGGCTTACTGGGGCGACACGGCACAGGGCTCCCCGTGGGTGTCCTTGTGACGCTGGCTGGGGACAAGTGTCAGGGCCCGATGGCTCCGGAGGGCTGCAGCCCCGGCCTCGCCCCACGTGGAGCCCCAGGACCTGCGCCTCGGCTCCTCGGCTCCCCACAGCCTGTGCACCCCCATGGCCTTCTGGAAGAATCTGCAGCATGGGAGGGAGCCCCAAGTCCGTCCTGCCCGTCCGCCCGGCAGTCGGGGATTCGGGGAGTCCCCTTGCGCTCCCCGCGGTCCCGCCTTCCTCTGCCCTCCTCTCCGCCCCCGGCCCTGCAAACGTGGCCCCGCTGCCGGTCTGGGGGAGGCCTGCGGGGGGCGGGGGGCCGCTGGAGGCCCCGGCTCCGACCGCACCTGCCAGCAGCTCCCCAAACCTGCGGTGGCAGAGACGGCGGCGCCTCAACCCCGGGCGCCGCCCGCAGTCCAGTTCCTCATCGCCCGCCTGGCTCCGGATCCTGGGGCTGCCAGGGTCCCCACACCCGCCAGTGCGTGGGGCGCCGCCCGCCCCTCCGCTTCCCTGACTGGCCGCCCCCTTCCGGGCTGAGTGCCCAAGGCCAGCTGCCCGTCGTGGTGCCCTGCTCGGCTCCAGTGATCTGAACAGGGGCCAGGCCCGGCGGCGGGCGGCGCC